GCACGCCACACCGTGCAGCACACTGCCTACCCGGCCAGCATCGTCCACCAGGTCCCCGTGAGCATGGGCCCCCGGGTCCTGCCCTCGCCCACCATCCACCCGAGTCAGTATCCAGCCCAGTTTGCCCACCAGACCTACATCAGCGCCTCTCCAGCCTCCACCGTCTACACTGGATACCCACTGAGCCCCGCCAAGGTCAACCAGTACCCGTACATATAGACACCGGGAGGGGGCACGGGCGAGGGCGGGAGCTGGGCGTCTGGCACTGAAGACGCCGCACAGCAGCAGTACAAGGGGCGGGGCGGGGACACTGCTGACACTTGAACTAGGAAGTGGGAGGACTGAGCAGAGAAGAGAACATTTTTAAAAAGAAGGGATTCAGGAGGGGATCTATGCTTTTTATTTTAAAAAGAAAAAGAAAAAAAAGAAAACGTCGGTAACAAAAACACAGCTCATGAACCCATTTTGCACCAAACTGGAAAGGAGAAGAGAGAGCGATGGAAGATTCCGGAAGGGGGGCCAGTTTCTGAAGAACTTTACCTATGAACTTTTCAGAGGTTATTTTCATATGGCAGCAAGTGACATTGAAGAATTTGCTGTCAGGGACACCTGATATGGAAATCCAGTAGGTTTTTCATGGTTGAACATGAGAATTAGGGATTTTTCCAGAACTCTAAAGGGTCAACAGCCCTAGAGGTCAGGCCGCTGTGGCCTGATGTGGGGGGTTGGGCTGTTCAGGCTCCTTGGGGGAAGCGGGTGGCCAGACCCAGGAAGCCCTCCCCCGAGGGCATGTGCTCTCTTTCCGAGCACTCTGGATAAATCCCTAAGAAAGTTACTCCTCAAATGTCATTCATAATGTTTGTTCCAAACTTTAGCTTTTTCTTTCTGAAGATTTATTATCTCTTTGAATCAGTCCCTAGTCGCATAGCAGGGCTGGCGGGCGTTGCCGACACCCGGTGGAATGTAGCATTCTGCACCCGTTTCTCTTTGTGTTCAACCCCGTGATACCAGTGGACTATCCTCAGTGTAGCTGCACACAGCAGTGATAGGCACAGGCATGTAACCAATGTGGCGGCCCAGGCGTGAACGCGAGCGCCTGTGCGTCCTGGGCGCGGCCAGGCTCCCTCCTGACTTGACATCATTCCCTCCTAGTGCCTTACGGAACCAGAGCGCGAGGGTTTCCTTCCACGGTCCTCCAAGCAGCTGGCGGGCGAGTCGGAGCATCTCGGCACTTCTGTGCTGTTGAAACATTTTACTCTGGTCTTTCCTCTTCTTGTTTTTAAATTTTAATTTAATCTAATTTTAGTACCTGTTGTCTGTCTATGGCTGTTCGCTGGCAGAGGGGTGTCAGGGAGCTGGCAAGGCCGAGAGCCCCCGATGTTGAGATGTGGGGTGGATGGTGGGGGTGGACCTGGTGGGCGTGATGTTTTAGATGACTTTATTTGGACAGAGCAGGAGCGACTCCCCACTCCTTGCAGCCCCCCTCCCCTCCACCCCCCTACACCCCTGTTTTACCTGTATGGCTGCTCTGCCATTTGTGGGGCCAGAGGTCCCTCTGTGTTGCAGGAACGCTGGCCTTGCAAGTGGCTGACTCCTTCCTGGTGTGGAAAGGACAGAGGAGAGGAGGCCTCCAGCCGCCTGCCACCTCCAGGCCGGCACACTTCCTGCCGCCTCTGGGGGCTGGAGCGCAGGCCTGGTCCCCAGCGGGGTGCTCTCGCCTCCCCCCAGGCCTCCCTGTCGCACCGCCCCTCTCCTCTGGACCCTTCCCTCTGCAGACAACCACCAGCCTGTGCTCACTGCGGTCTCTCCCTCATTACCTGGGCCTGCCCACGGCACCACTTGGTTTTGGTTTTTGAGGGTCTGGTGGGCAGAAGGCAGGGGGACATTTATGGGGGTGACCAGGAGGCCTTCGGCCACCCCTTGGAGGCCCCTCCTGCCGCCAGTTAGGTTTCCAAAGAAATTGTCCTTTGCCCTCTTTGCACCTTTGATACATTCTGGACATTTCTCAGGCTTGAACTGCTGGAGGCAGGTGGGGTCTCTGTTCACAGCAACTCACATTCATGAAGGTTAGGGGACTGTGTGGTCATAGTGAGGTTTTAAAGGAAGGCCCTAAACGTCGGCTCTCCACGCTGAGTCCTTAACTGAGCCCAACGCCGCGTTCCCAAGGTGCAGAGAGGCCGCTCCGTCCTCGTCCTCGTCCCCCTCCCTCCCTCCCTCCCTCCCTCCCTCCTTCCTTCCCTCCATGGTCTCCCTTAACGATCTGCTGTGAAAGGTGTTTTTATAGTGACATCCGACCTAATTCAGTGAGGAAGCCAAACCTTTACCTTAGCTCTTAGCTGTGAAATGTGAACTAACTCTGGAAATTTCCCCTCCCGACCACAAGTCCTACTTACCTTACAAAGAGATCCCATTTATCCAGGCCTTAGGCCGGAAGGAAGGAAGGAAGGACACTATGACTTTCGAGGGCGGACAGCCCCAGGGCCCAGCAGGATCCATAGTCTGTCTGATGTGGGGAGTGCTTCCTTCTGAGACGACAGGAGACAACGACAGGAGACGGCCAGTCCGTGGGAGTAGTGGGGGCAGAGGGGTTGAAGTTGGAGGCCACGCCAGCCTGGAAGGCCCGAGTCCGGCATGGATGGCATGGCAGCGGCGCCCCACCAGGTCTCAAGTCCAGTTACCCGTCCGGGCTGCGCGTGAGCCTCGCTGGCCTTACCGTAGCATCCTGGGCCTCGCCCAGTGCGCGCCCAGCCCTCACGCCCTCTGACCTTTCCAGAAAAGACAACCAGCCTTCCGTTTGAAGCAGATGACTGTCTACCACGTCGACTTTCACCTGACACTTTCCTTTTCTTCCAGACCAGGAATGAAAGGTCCATGCTGCTCATAAAGATAATATTATTGTACTAATTATTTTGATTATTATCAGTGTAATTATTATCATTATCATCGTGTGGATATTTTAGTTGGGGTTTGAAATGCACACTTATTCCATGTATCTTTGTGTTTTCTCTTTAATATTTAAACTTATTTGATTATATCTGTGAGTATCTGAGTAGACAGGAAGGACATACAGATGTCCAGTTTTGTCAGACAAAGGAATTGGGTGAACTGTTTGTCGTCTCTTCCACTGAGAGCTGTCCAGGAAAGAGCCTCGCAGAACAAGAGTGAAGAATCAGGCCTTTCCTCTGTGCAGCCTGGCGCTGACCACACAGGCTGCGCGTGCTGAGCCCTGAGCGTGGGCCTCCGCCAGGTCCTGCGCTTCTGAACCTGGCTGCCCAGATCCTGGCCTGCTCACACCCGCCATGTACCTGTCCCGCCCAAAGAGCCCCCTGCCAGAGCTGATGCAGCCCCTCCCAGGCGCCCCCTTTCCCGTCGGTGCACCAGGAGGGTGGCTCAGAGACCACTGTCCCTCCTGGAAGCCCAAGGCGGCCCCTGGGAACTGCCTCCTCCCCCTCCC